CCCGGGGGGGGGGGTTCCCATTCTAGAGGCGCTGGCAGTGAGCTCCTCTAGGCCATCTGCCCCCACCCCAGGGATGGCTAGGGTGGTCTGGGCTCCCCTCAGCACAAGAGGGGAGGGCTCTGATACACACAGGGTCTGTGCCTGGACTTCCGGGTTGGATGTCATCACTGTACCTCCGCAAGGCACACTTGGACCCCTCATCCTTCCCCCTGTGCCGGAACGCCCCAGCGGGAGGCAGGGGTTTATTCGCAGGGTCGAATCCTGCAACACCAAGGCTGGGGCTCACGTGTTGAGTAGGAGGACCGTGCCAAGGTGTTTTAGGGGTACAAGGTCCTCTATTTCCTCATAGATTGGGATTTGGTAGAAGACGTGGCGATTCCCCAGGACATGAAGGCTAATGTGTGTTGGAGCTGGTCAACACCGGCTCTCCACAGCTCCTGGGGCTTCTGGGAGGTTTCCATGGGTGAGATACTTTGGTTGTCACTGGGCCTTCCTCCAGGCACCCCTGCCACCCTCCAGCTCCCCACCCACTAGTTTCTCCTAAGTGGAGTCCCCTGTGCCGCTGCTGATCTTTGGATGCTCTTTCTCTCCCTATCTGCAAACAGATTCCACCCCACCTCTAATTCCACTGCTTTATTCCTGACCACTTAAAACACAATCACTCATTGATATTGGTAACTGGATTGATACACAATGGGAGAGGTATAACAGTCAGTTGTCTGTTTTTCTGATCAGAGAATCCCAGATGTTGGTTGAATAAGCCAAGTCCAATCAATGCCACCTTCTCAGAGAAGCCTCATATAGCGCCTGCCCCATGCCACCTGCTAGGGGCTGGGTGGAAGGGGGCACCAAAGTGGGGTCCTAGCGGAGAGTGGTACAGAGCAGGCGGTTGCCTAGACAAGGGACTTGGGCCCGGGCCAGCCAGGGAGCGGCTGGGGAAGAAAGCGGCCCCTGCCTCACTCTCCCGGATCCCCTCTCCCTTCTACCTCCCCTTTCCCACCCTTTCTTCACTTCTCTGCCCTCCTCCTGTTCCTACCTCTGTGGCATCTCTGACATTTGCAGCGTGGAAAAAGAGGGCTCCGGAGATGGAAAGGAAGAGTGCTCAGGGGATGGCGGGACGCTGGCCTAGCCCTGAAGATGCTCTCCCGGAGTTTTGCATTCAGTGCCAAAAAGACAGGACTCTGGGTTTCACAGAGGACAGACACCCGCCCCAGCTACCATACCCTCTTTGCCTCTTGCTCCTCCTCTTTCGACAGCAAAATGGGAGAGAGGCAGCGGCTTTTAGAGGAGAGGGCTAGGGAGTAGGAGGGAGACCATCAAGGGGTGGGGATCAGAAAAGGAGCCAAAGGGGGAGAATCTGGGGTGGGAGCAGGATCTCTGCTTTGGGAGTGTTGGATAGCAGCATGTATAGTTTTTTGAGGTGAGGACCCTGCTGGCCCATTATGCCCTATGCAGCTGGCAGAGAGAAGACACTGGCTATATTCATACAGCCTGGTCCCCCATTTGGACTTGGCTGGGGTCGTCCTCAGTGGATGTCAAGGATACCACGTGACTGAGGCCTAGGGACAATGCCACCTTGCCTTCTTATCACCCCTCCCACTTCTCGCTTTGAGCCCCCAAGGGGCTAGGTGTGGATTTTACAGATGACACCGACCACGCTGGCCTCCAGGACTGGCAGGCTAAAGAGAAAACATCTCTCAGCAGGAAGAAGTGACGGTTTCTTTCTGCTGCCTAAGACGTGGGTTCGCAGGCCCCTTGAATAGAACTGGGCTTCAAGCCTAGAACAGTGTGAGCAATCCGGCCCTGAAGTGTTTCCCTGAGCGCCCCAGGAAGTTGGGGAACACCTGGGGGAAGGCTGCCCCGGGGAAGCCCTTAGGAGGGACAGCTGTGACCAATACCGCCCTGGATGCGGGGAGCGAGGGAGTCTTAGGGTGAGGTGGGATTTGTGCTATATTGGGGAAGTAAGGTGGCCGGTGGAATCCTTTTTGGCTTTAATAGCTACCTGAGCCAGGGCGGAGAGCGGGACACAGTGCTGAGGCCCTCAGACCCTGGGGGAGACAGGCAGGCCTTTGCACGGCTGGGGCCACATCAGACAGGATCTCCCTGTGACAGCCGAAGGCAGCCAGGAGGCTCAGTCCCGGTTCCCACCCTTCCCAGGCTCCTCAACCTGCCTGCATAGCTCTCCTGTCACTCCAGAGCTGGGGGTGTCTGGGGCACGGGAATGTGAATGGCAGAGCTGCTCCGAGCCCCCAGTCTTCCTCTTGAGAGGGAGGAGAGAATCGACCATGAGGCGTTTTCCTGGCATGTAGGATAACCTTGTGGGAGGCACAGGGAATCCAATTAGACACTCGAGGCTGGGGAGCTGCGCTGGCAGCTGGGGTGTCGGGAAAGGTTGCTTTTTCGCTTCTGGCTTCCTGGCCCTCAGGGAGACAGACAGTGCAGCCAGGCTCTCTCTGCCAGCTGACCCGTGTTCTGTGTCCCCTCCCAGGGGACCACTCCATCTAACTCAGGGTGGGACAGTCCCCACAGAGGAGGGGACAGCCCAGAGACAGCAGCACTCCTAGGCAGAGGGCATCACTGGCACTTCTGTGTCTCCAGGGGCCCCTGGACTTGGAGTGGTAGATGCCTACTGTGCTCCAGAGCTGGGAGCCAGCTGCACTTCTCTCTCTATTTGTCCAGAGCTCACCTGCGCTCTGTCACAGGTGTCTGCATCACCTGCTCTGCTAGGCCCAGCACAGATGAACTCACAGTGACCTCACTCCTCTTGGATTCAGTGTCTCCAACTTTTCCCAACAGCCAGAACAATTAACTCCCACCTGAGCCTCTCAGCACCCCACTCAGCCTCCTGCAGGGGCAGTTATGCATATAGGAGCATGTGTGTCGTAGTGGCCTCTGTGACCTCAGACAGGGCCTTGACCTCTGTGAGCCTTCAGCAGGTGCCCCCTGCATGCAGTGGGAGCCGCTCCACCCTGGCCGTGTCCCCCGGCCTCCTGCTGTTCCTGTTTCCCTCCTTTGTGGCTCAGAAGGTAAGAGTCTGCTGGTGGTGGGATCCAGGGCCAGGGCACCCTTTCAACTGAGCAGAACAGGTCTGAGTGGCGCTCTTCCGGAAAGCCTGAGAAGGTTCTGGAGTCCTGTGGTTGGGAGCTGAGCACCAAGGCCTCTGTTTCTTTTTAAGCTCTTCCCTGCAAGCCTCTTGGATTTACAGTGGACCCTCGAGTTACAACTGGCCTGACATACAAACTCTGGGTTAGGACTGGAACTGTAGTATTAACTTTCAACCAAAGTCTCGACTTACAATCTGAATACCCGCTGCTTGTGCTTCCAGATGGTCTCAGATACAGATTTACTCTTCAAGAGTTCTGGAAGGAACATGACAACATCCTTTCCTGGGTGGGGTTAATTGAGAAATCCTGGGCCAGTGTCTCTCTAAGGACACTGAGATCTGCCTGTATACAGGAGAGAGACTTTGAAGGCTGTGTAGAGGAGCCTGAGATTTCAACTGACTGACTTGAGATACAACCAGCCCTCGTGAATGCAGTTCGTAAGTCAAGAGTCCACCTTATTTGTAAAAGGGCCCCCAGGGTTGAAGGGACAGACTGCCCTGGTCTTCTCTCCTGGCACTACATGGCCATTTGAAGGCCACGTGCTGCTGTGTTGGGGACATCTGAAGGGAAACTTTGTGGGGAAGACCAAGTCCTCAGCCAGTGTTAGCCATGCCCCCCACCAGCTGCTGTCATCCCTGGCAGGCAGGCTGTCCTTGGAGGCGTTGAGCCAGTCTGCCTGTGTGGGGGGTCTGGGCTGTGGGGGTGGCAGTTCTGTGCTGGCGCAGTGACTAATCCTCACAACACCAATTACGAGCCTCTGGGGAGTAGGTGGTGGGAAGGTGGGCTGGGGAGGCGGGGGGGGTTCACGAAGTCAGCTGCCTCGAGGCTCCCTGTGTGTGTGTGTGTGTGTGTGTGTGTGTGTGTGTGAATGTGCTAGAGGAGAGTGTGAGATGCTGAGGGAACCCAGACACCCCACAGGAGGACCTGCCCCAGGTGGGTCCAAGGCACCCTGTATTTGGACTTAACATTTTCTAAGGACCCTGATGTCCCAGGCCCCCATTCTTTGCACGACCCCGCTATCAGCTAATAGCAGCCTCAATGTGCAGATTCTTTATCTGAGCTATAAAGAATTAAGTGACTTGTCAAAGGTCATTAGCTAAGATCAGGCTGTGGTGACTGTGTGGCGGTGACTCCAGGACTCCTGGTTTTCCGGGTGTCATGGAAGCCACCAGGCTCTAAGGGTCTCATGGGGCATCTGAGCCACAGGCCACAAAAACCCTCTGTCCCCCATTATACAGAGACTAAAAGCCCAAGGAAAGAGTGGGGGCTGCCAGGGCCCCCCCACCCGGCCATCCATCCACCAACAGGTAAAGTTCTTGGGAAACTGGGCAGTGTCTCCAGGGAAAGCACCAATCAGGCAAATTTCTATCACTTACATATACTGTGTCCCCAGCCCTGAGCTTCACACCAGGAGGGGCCAGGAAAGTCAAGTCTGGAAGAAAAGATGCTCAGCTGAGTGTCGAAATTCAGTGACAAATGCAGGAGGTACTGAGGATCCCAGAAGAAAGTGCAGTGGGCCCTGCTGGGCCTGGGAAAAGCTGGATTTGAGCCTAGGCCAGAGCAGAATGGAAAGAAGCTGCTAGCAGGACAGAGGAAAGGTAGGGGGCATCTCCACACCTCTCCCTTGGCCTTGCTGGGAAGGAGGGCAAGTATGTTCCTTTGACCCAGGGGACCCTTTTAAGAGTAAGTCCAAGAGAAATGAAGGGAACAGAGATACAAACATCTCATCAATCCTGTGAGGTTCGACAGTTCTCTTGGACTGCTTTCAAGAAGATCCTTCTGGGAAACCATCCCTGGGGTAGGAATTATGAGGCCTGAAGGCCCAGGGTCCCCCTGCCTCATTCCCACCGGGCTGCCTGGGTGCCAGGGTCTGAGAATATAGGCAGGACTTCAGTGACAGGTAGACTCCAGATCCAGAGGGAAATCATGCTAGCCTCAGAGGATCTCTGAGGTTCCTTCTGGCTACGGGGGAGGGGGACCACCACAAGGTGAGGATCTCCCATGTGTCACCCTCTGCCTGCAACTGTGCACAGTTGTCTTAGCGAATTACCCCTGCAGCCTTGTAGGGTTAGACACTGTCCTGCCTTGGTCATTTCGGCAGGGCCGCACTGTTAGCAAAGATCAGGGTCAAAGTTCCCATCTGGAACTGTCTTCCCAGTGGGCTGCCCTGGATTTCAGAATGAGGGGATCCTTTCTTCTCCTGCTGGGCAGATCCTTTTTTGAGCAGAGGCCCCATAGCTGTCAGGGTCCACCTTTGGGGACAGGACACGGTGGCCTCTTGTCTGTGCCCTACCCTGCCCACCTTGTTGGGGTGCCCTTGGCAGTGAGAGCCAGGAGGGCGCCCCTCCTGTCAGTCCTATGGAGGAGCAGGGAGTTCCGGCGAATGGGAGGGGGCTGGGACTGGTGGAAACTCCCAAGGCGGCAGGCTCAGGGCTGGGAGTGGGGAGGAGGGACACGGGGGTGGGTTCCAGGCTTTTCCCCACACTTCCTCAGGGATCGCTTTACATAACCAGGGCTGCTTAGTCACCGCTTTTTACTTTTTTTTTTGGAAACAATTTTCTCAGCATCACAGCTCCCAGTCTCCATCCCTTACTAGTCACCGGTGCTAGGGAAGTCCCTTTTCTCCCGTTCCCTAGGCAACCCAGCACATTTGCCTTTCAAATGCTCCAAGGCCTGGGCGGGGGTAGGAGTTCCCTCCCCCTGTACCCGGCCTCCCACACAGCCACTCCTGCCTCAGTTGATGATGTCAGGTGGCCCAGCCACCCAGAGACATCTGGAGAGACCAAACTTCCTGTCTGGTATCAGCCTCTCTCCTGGACCCTCATATTTCTGCTCCTTGAGTTTGGCCCACATCCAGAGGTGCCCATGTTGGACGTTAGACATGGCTGGCCAGCCTTGTTTCTTCTTGCGGGAGAGAGGGAGCAGCCCAGGCATCTTTGCGAAGTGGCAGGGCTGGGCCTGTCTCAGGAAGGCCTGGAGCATCATGCTGCTATCACACCTTGGGAATAGGCCTAATGGCCTCAGTTCCCCTCCTTACTCTTGGTATGTGTGGTCAGGAACAGGACTGGGGCATGGTCATCCTCCTTCCTTCTCTTCAGCTCCCATATATTGCCCATATCAGCCTTGGCTGGGCAGAGGAGCCCAGTGGCTTGGAGAATTAGACTGAGGGTGAGTGAGGGGAGGGCTCTCAGTGTGGATGCCAGAAACACTGGAAAGATGTAAAAGGCCAGACGCTGTGTACCCCTATAGACATCCCTTTAAAAAGCCATGACATTGATCTTAATGACACAGGGTGCTTGGCTAGTGGGCTTGATGCTGTGAATTGAGGGCATTCATGTGAGCTATAAAAGTCACAGAACATGTGGAAACATTTTCTTCATTCAGCACACATTTGTGGCATACCTATTATGTGCTAAACATTGTGCAAGCCCTTGAAAAGCCTTCAGGGCCCAGATCCCTGCTTCCTGGGGTGTGAAAATGCACAAGCCACCCACCAGGGGGTTTAAGAAAACTGCAAATTTCAGACAGTGACCAAGATCACATATGGGAAGCCTCATCCAGAGGCCTCAGAGGGGCACTGGCTAGGAGAAAGGTCTCCTTGAGATGTCTTCTTCAAGCAGGAATTCTTAACCTAGAACTTATGAACAGGCTTCAAGGGATGGGTGGATGACCAGCAACCAGAGTACTGCACACCATTGTGTGTGGTTCTATGTGTAGTTCTCTAAGGAGTGGCCTACCACTTTCATCCAGCTGGGATCTCTGGTCCAATAGAACTGTGTATGCAGGGGATCTAGTTTGCCTCCTCCTGAGAACCTAAGGCCTGATAATCTGAGGTGGAGCTGAGGTGGTGATGCTAGCATTGGGAAAGTAATTATTATGCATTGCAAGCATACTAGTAAGTAAAAGAAACTAGTGTCCCCCCCACCCACTTCATCTGTGGAAAAATTATCTTCCATAAAACTGGTGCCACAAAGCCTAGACATTACTGCTCTGGAAGGTTAAGGACCCTTTCACTGGAGGCTGCTTTAGGGTATTTGAGAATGAAAGTCTGTACACAGATCCTCCCTGGAGGTTAGTGTCTCCACTGGTAACCACGGAACCAACCTTCCAGGACTCCTGGGGTTTGTTTCTGCCAGGTTATAGGGAAGACCTTCAGGACCCCAGCCTGCCTGCCCAGGCCCACAACAGGCAGTCCCAGTCCAGGAGGTTTCAGCTGCCCACAAGCCCTGCTGCAGCCTCAGCTGGAGGACCCTGAGCAGGCACCAGCTTCTCGTGGAAGCACACCTGGCTTCTCCTGTGGGCAGGGCAGTCCCAGCTTTGAGAATTTGTATTCTGACCTCACTTGTATTCTAATCTGTCTTGTATTGCCTTGTTCTACTTAGGTCCCTTCTCAGTTCTTCCTTGACAGTAATCGAGGGCATTTTCCTTGTTGCTTTCCCCCTGAGAAACATGGGTGTGGCTACCCAATTGTAACATGGGGTGTCCATGGATGTATAGCTCCTGGGATTTCTGTGTGGGCAGCTCCCCTTGCCTCTAGGGTTAGAGCTTGGGGCCCCACTATTGCAGTCACAAAGGGCGAAGTCCCTCAAGGGCAGCTGATCAGCTGTTCTTTTGGGCTTCCCAAACCTTTCTCGTGGTAGATGGTCACAGTGAGAGGCCTGTAGGGTCTGGGCAGGGCCAGATGCCAGGATCCAAAACGGAGTCCACTAGTGTCAGTGTTTTCTGCAAGATCTCAGTGCTGTGACCATCATGCCAGCAGGAATGAACAATGCCACATGGCAATGCTTGTTTCCTGGTGCCTCTTGTCTACCAGGAGCAGGCAGAGTACAGACCTTGGGTGCTCAGACTTGGAGGAAAAGCCCAGAATGACTCTCTCAGTTCCAGTGGCCTCAGGCAAGCTCTGCAACCTCTCCAGCCTCTTGTTTCTTCACTTATGGAAGGAGGTCGGGGACATCCAGCTCTAGTTGTCATGAGGACTACACAGATAGCATCTAGGAGGCTATTTGCTGGTTTTTCCTGACCCTCGCACCCTTGTCACCCAAATGGAGCATGCAGTTGATATGTAGGTGGGGAAGGGTGTCAGGGAGGGCTGAAGGGTTGGTGGAACAAGTGGGGATGGGACAGAATAACCACAATAATAAACATAAACCAGACCCTTGCAAGGGAGGGCAGTCTCAGGAATCAAAGGCAGGAAAAGGACTAGGGCAGGCAGGAAGAGACGGAGTATGCTTTCCTTGTGGTTGTTTTTAAAATTGGAAGTCACCGATGCCATGACATTAGGGAAACCGAGGCAGTGGGGTGGCAGGGACAAGCCTTCTAGCCTCGAATTCTGACTCTTGTCAGTGACTGCATGTGACCCTGCAGCCAGCTTCCCGAGCCCCATCCCATCCGGGAGACAACGATGTGCCAGGCTTGGGTGCTGCCAGCCGGGAGCCTGATTTAGCACATGCCTTGTTAAGAGAAACTAATTAACAAACCTGCATTTAAATAAGCAGCCGCCCGGGTGTTTGTAACCACCGCCTTATTGAATTGTGACAAGTTATTAGCCCTTGCATGTTAAATGAAACAGAAGCATGCAGGAAAAACCCCTAAATCCAATCTGCATAAAGCAGATTCCTGCTGAGAAAATGACGGCAGCAAAAACTGATTCACTCGCCACCGCTTTGGGGAGAACTCCAGGCTCCCCTCATCCTGGGTTACATAACCCTCTGTCACCGGAGAAAGGCAGTAAGCAGGAAAGAGGACCCTGGGAGATGCCAGGGGCTCCATCCGGGGTTCTGCCACCTTTGGGGGGTGCTGGGGACACAGATAGCCTGGTCCTTGAGGCACACATTTTCACGAATTCTGTGAGTGGTGTGGCCAGGCGTGGTGCCCAGGGAGCCCAGTGTGTCCTTGGTTTTCACGGGCCTGGAAGTTGCTCCCACTCCACTGGAACAAGAAGAGCTCAGCACTGCCCGAGGCTCAGTCTCAGGACAGCAGTGGCTTTGCTCAGCAAGCTCCCCTCTGCACTTTCTTCAAATGACGGAGGATACATGCAAGGATCAAATTGAGTGGTGCCATGAACATTCTTTTTTTATTATTATTAAGATAAAAAAGACATTGTCACTCAACTGTCCCCAACCAAGAATGCCAGGCCTAAGCAAAGAGAACTGAGACTTCTGGGGCATCTGTGGGAATCTGGCCCAGGCCCTCCTCGGCCCCTCGTGTCTAACACCCTGGACAGAGCTGTGGCCGCGTCGTGATCCTGAGCATCCTCTAACACGGCCTCTCTCGGAGAAGGCTGCACACCCCTGTGGCTAGTTTGGCAGGGACTGGTTTGGGACAGGTCTATCCTGCCATAGATCCGATTGCTCCTGCTCACCGGGAGGAGGGGGCCAGAGATGAGGCTGGGGGTTCGGGGAGGCAGGGGCTATCGGGGGCAGGTGGACCTAGCTCTGCCTCCTAGTAGCGGTGTGACTTGGGGGTGCTCCCTGAGCCTGCTTCCTCCTCGGAAATGGGAACCGTGGCTGTCAGGAAGGGTCCTGGAAGTCTAATTTGGACGCTGCCACAGGTGACTGATATTAGAGGAGGGAGACATGGGTCCCAGATTTCCAGGCTTCACTGCGGCCCAGAAGTTGATCCTGGAGACGACGGGGAGCCGAGACAGGCTAAACTGAATTGAGATCTCAGCTCTTCTCCTTACTAGCTGGGTGACCCTGGATAAGTGAATTAACTTCTCAGACCCAGGTTCCCTGTAGATCTAGAAGTGTTTGTGATTATTCCAAAGTATGGTAGAGAGAATGAAATCAGAAAAGGGATATTTACAAAGTGCCTGGCAAAACAGCAGCACGACATCCCGCTCTGCCCCTCGCTCCTGCCCACTTCACTTGTCCCGTTGTCTGCCAGAGAGAGAAGTGTTAATCCGTGCATTCTGGAGAGTTCTGGACAAGTGATCCAGGGAGGGAGAGCTCTGATATGTGACAGTGTTCTGAGATGTGTGTTCCTTACCATGTGGCGGGTAGGGGCTACAGCTATTTCTGGACTTCAAAAACCCCTCTCTTAATAGATTTGGAAGATTTGGTAAGGCTTGAGGGTGCGGAAAGGAAATCATGTCTTTCTCTGCATGATCAAACCCTCAGTGGACTGATCATTTACTCCCCAGAGCACACAGACCCCCGGACTGTGTGAGGGGGAGAGGGCTGGTCCTCCTCACTGGGGTTCTGGTGTTCAGGTGGGAGAGAGGGCTTCAGGGGTGGTTCTCTCCAGGAACGCCCCAGGTCCCTTTCCTGGAAGGGAGGTAGGATTTGCACGTGCTGGGAGAGGGCGCAATTTGAGCGCAGCTGGCCAGTCGGGATCTGCTTTAGACCACAGGCAGATTAGCATGAGTTTGTCCTGGAGAGGCTTGCAGGGGGCTAGAATTACGGAAAGTCTTAACATCTCTAACCTTGCCTGAGGCCTGTTCTTCAGGTCTGGAAATTGGCAGGTATGGCGGGGGAAGGGATCACAGCATTTTGGCAGGTGACTTGTTCTTGTGACATGCATACCCTTTCCTTGCAGTCAAAAGGGACTCTTGGGACAGATTCCCAGCAAAGAGAAAAGAGGATTTCATGGGTGGCAATAATATTCGCTTTTCTTCGCCACTGCTATTCAGTCCACAAATGCTGTCTGGGCACAGGGCCCATGAACTGAGGCCTCTGCTCTCAAGTACTTGAGTCTAGCTGGGGAGTCCGAGAGTAAGGTAGTATGACTTCTAAGTGCACTGTCATGCAGGGCAGAGGTGTATGCATTGTGGTAGCTTCCTACAGAGGGGGAGCTCTGTGTGCCCTCTGCTTAACCCTAAGGGATGCTGTGGACTGGCAAGGGGTGGAGGCAAGGGCTGGGACAGGCAAGGGTGGGTGAGTTTATGCTTAGTGCATGACAAGTGGCCTTGCACAGGGTGCAGGGACAGCCTGTGGTAGGTACCTGGGGTGTGGGGAGGCTGAGCGGAGGGAAGGAGGGTGCAGCCGGTGCCTTTGGGAACAGAGGGGCTCATCCCGGGAAACACCATGGTGGAGGAATAAATGGGAGCAACAGACAGGGAAAGTGAGGTAGCAGGAAGGTGCCTGGGAAGGTGAGTGAGGAGGCCTGGCTGGGGGTGGGAGGAAAACCCTGACAGGGGAAGGAGGAGGAGACGTTTTCAGAGCAGGGGTTTCTTCCTGATCGTGGAGGTGAGATGCCCCCAGGGTGAGAGATACCATGTTCTATCAGGGTTGGCCCTGGAGGAGGAGCGGGAACAGGGGAAGACCTTACAGAGTGTGGGGGAGCAATGGCCAGGAGCCCAGGGTTAGAGATGGGGCTGCAAGGGCAGTGGGGGAGGGACAGGGCACTTGGCAGGATGGAGGTCACAGAAGCCTAGGGGGTCTGCTGATCCTTGGCTTGTGAGGAGTGCGCAAGACAAACATCTAGTCCCAACCCCAGCCTCAGCCTCAGTCTTCCCACCTGTGGAAGGGAAGGAATGGGGCACAGCCTTGCTTTGTCTTTCTTCAACCCGGAGATGAGACTGTCCTGATAACTATTCACAAGCTACTGCTAGGATTGTAAATGGATAGAAATTCTACATTCTGGGTGGCATTTTAGTAATGAGGAACAGGAAGACTTTTGATTATGGGAAACCTTTAACCTCTGAGGGTTTAGCCTAAGAAAGTCATCCCACAGTGAACGAATGAAGAGCCGGGTATTCACAACTTGGTTCAGTCATGTTGGTGACAATATAGATCAGAAAAGAAGATACAACCTAATGTCCAACAGTAAAGGATTGGCGGAGTAAATTATAGTACATCCATATGGTAAACTACTTCTGCAGTAAAAATCATGGTTTGGAAGATTATGTGTTGACATGGGAAAATGTTAATGATATATTGCTAAGTAAAAAAGCAGACTACATTACAGAATGTACAGTATGATACATTCATTTTCAAAATTTTTGATTAGGACACAGACCAAATCTTTAATTAATGTCATTTTTTCCCTTCTCTTGGCAAGCAAGAGGAGTATTATCTGGAAAAATGTAACTCAAAAATGAAGCAGAGAGACAAGCATTCCACACCAAGTGTGTTCACGTGAATTCCAAGTCATTAGGACGGAGAATGGGCTGTCACTGAATCGAGGAACTGGAGAGATTGTGAAAGTACCGAATTTTAGAAGTGGAAATTGCCTTGGCTTCTTGGGGCCCAACCTCCTCAACTTTTCAGCTAACGAAATTCCAGCTTGGTGGGAAGTCTCGGACACTTGTTAATCAGGATGGGGTAGGCACCAGGCCTAGAGCCAGGCTCTCCCAACTCCCAGGTTTACAACGCCAATCTGTTGTCATCTCTCCGGGGACAGTGAGGTTATGTATGAGGTGACTGTTCCTAAGCTCCCAGGTCTGGGGCTGTGGCCTCCTCTACCCTCGGAACCCCTGGATGGAGGGCACTGTCCCCCAGCCTACTTGGGGGACTTCTCTAGGAGTTTGAGTCCCTTCTGGAGCCGATCCATGTCCCACCCCACGGGGAGATCAGAGATCGGAGATGCGGGGGAACTCTGAGCTGGGCTGTACTGACTTCTCAAGTTCCCTCACCTTGTCAGGCCCTTTGTAACATGATTCTCCTTTCTTACCATGAGGATTCTCTCTTCCGTCCAGTCCCCTAACTCCCCTACTTGAAGGCAGCACCTCCTTTTCACTGAGCTACGCTTTGGGGGGCTGGGTGCCCCGTACATGCTCTGCAGCCATGCTAGTGCCATAACACGCTTTTCAGCATGAGTGGGTTGCGCCTGGACTTCCTTTACTGCCTGGATTATTGAAGTGGCTCCTAAGAGATCCTCCTGTTGCTGCTCATCACGCTAAGCAGCCACAGGGATTCTGCTCAGAACCCACTATAACGTGACCCTCCTCTGCTCTCTGGCAGTGCTGTGGCCCCTCCCATCTGCCCCTTTTGTCTACACTTCCTCCACTGCAGCCACGTGGGCTCCCAGACGCTCCTTGGACGCCCAGGCCTGCACCTGCCTCAGGTCCTTTGCACTGGTTGGCCTCCCTCTCTGGAGCCCCCTTCTCCCAGACTGCTATGCGCCTCACTCCATCACCTCCACCAAGTCTTCAGACCGAGTCTTCTCAGTGAGCCCCTCCCTGGCCACAGTTCTACCCCGGAAGTCTGCGTCTCCTCTCACCACACAGTCCTCTTCCAGAATGCGGCACGCCTTCTGATCTGTCGGACAGCTTATTTTTCATTACTTTTAATGTTGTGTGTTGCCCTCTTCTAGAGTAGGCTGTAGGGTGAGGGTGTTGAGTTCGTGGAGGTTTCCATAGCACCAAGAGTTGAGGGTACAAGACAGACACTCAAAAAGTACTTGTTGAAGGCTGGGTGTGATGGCGTATTCCTGTAACCCCAGCACTTGAGAAGCCGAGACGGGAAGATTACTGAGAGTTTGAGGCCAGCATGGACTTCACTGTGAGACAATGTTTCAAACAGACAAGTAATCGAACCGCCCCCAAAATGAAACAAAACAAACACAAATATGTTGAACGAATGCAAAAAGTAGGCAGAAATTAGGAACCAGGAAACCTTTCCCCCGTCAGGAAAGAATGCAGAACAGGTCGAAGAAAACATTCAGCCAGAAGGAACTCTGTTCAGGGATGAGAACTGTGGTATGCGTCAGAGGGAAGAGGGGCTTCCAAGTTCCATCCCACATCCCCATGTCTGACTTTCAGGCCTACAAGCCTAGTCTTCATTTCCTGTGCCTGTGAGCCTCGCTTTGGCAGCTCTTTGAGGGGCTGCCTGCTGAAGCATTCCCTCCTCTCTCACTCAGTCGTTCTTCATTCATCACCCGTGCAGGCACCAGAGCTACACCCACTTTCGCCCTTAGGGAGACCATAGAGCAGAGGGCACAGAGACCTACGGCGTGGACCACCGCCAGGCCAGGTGGAAGTCCCTCCTGAGCGGCAGATACGGGAGGTCAGCGGATGGGACACCCCTTGGGGCTGAGGTAGACTTGGTAGCCAGCTCCAGCCTAAACGGTGGGGGGGTTTGCGGCCCTGGAAATATGCATGGGGAAAGAGGGTGCAGGGAACGGAAGCTGCCCAGAGAAGGCACCCGGCTCAGCAAAGACTTGGCAGTGGCAGGAAACGCTGGGAATATTTTGGGGTTGCTGTGGCTGGTTAAGGTGATGGGATCAATCAAGGTCAAGGGGCACAAACACTCGGCTGGGACCTGGCCTTGAAGGGTCTTGTGGCTACCTCTGCAGGCTTAGTGCTCTACTTCCGAATTTGTACATTTTACAGGCTTCTGGAGAAATGGAGAATTGGCTCCTTTCTCAGCAAACAGATGGGGTTTAATTGCTGTTACTGTCAGTGTAGTTGCAAATATCATATAAAAAGGGCTTTTTGGCTAATTGTTTTTAGAATAAAAATTCAAGAACTATGTATAGATATTATGCATCCAGGGTTCTTTAAAGATCAAACTGTTTACATTATCCTTAAACACAGTCTTTAACATGAGGCGCCGGGAATCTGTGAGTGCCAGGGACATGCACTGAGCCCCCAGGGGAGCCAGAGCAGGATGACAGTGGTGACTTTCCTCCTGGGGAGGGGCAGCCAGTGCTCTTTGCTTGGCTGGGGGCCCAGAAGAATGGATGGCTCAGCTGGGCACTGCATGGCACCATGAGCCCAAACCGCTTACCACCCCAGGGACACGGGAAGAAGCAGAGTCGCGTGGGTTGCTGGGGTGGGGGTGGGGGTGGGGAGTTCAGAGGGCTGTGTTGGCCCCAGGCTCCTGCACAACCTCCGGAGCAGAGGAAGGGACAGGAGACAGCGGCGCCGTCACCAGTAGCCTCTGCACTGCCTGGCTGGCCTCCTCCCTTCCCTGTGCTTGCTTTCCCCACCCTGAAATGGTATGGAGAGGATTTCTGAGCTGCACAAATAAAGCAAATTCATATCTATTCATTGCCATCCTGTCCTCATGTTCAAGCCTCTCAAATTTTAATTTGGAAGCTTTTAGAAAGGCAAATTTATTTGTGACACCATCCAAATTCTATTTTATTGGAATTCTATTCTCAAAAGACGCAATTGACTCCTGAGAAAGCTGTGGGCTTCTCCTTTTGATATTTTCCCAAATGCTGTGAGTGTGTGTGTGTGTGTGTGTGTGTGTGCACGCGTGCATGCACAAGCATGCATATTAGTTTGCGGGTTTTCTACACATCTTATGTACAAACACATAATGCATATTCACAAGGCAGCCGCAGAAGTGTGTATATATTCATCACATGTATGTGTAATGCAGTGCGGGCTCCCATAAGCCAATATTTAAGTTATCATATTTAATTTAGTCAACAAACATTTAATAAGCACTTACTATTCATTAAATACCATCCTAGGCCCTTGTTATAAAGTAATGAGTAAGTTTTGGACAAAGCCCTTGCTTTTGGGAACCGATATTTAAATCCACTGGCTTCTTAATAAGAGGTTTCCAACAAATGTGAGGAAATCAGTACGGACAGTCCAGTGTGCTGGTGGGATGTGTCACAGATCACTGAGAGGTGACTCTTGGGCGCAATAAGGACAAGTGAGGGTGACATTAGGTTCCTTGTGTAGGTTACATCTCAGGGCTGCAGGACCTGGCCCCAGTAGGACAGTTCTGGGTGCTTCTAAGGCAGAGAGGAGAAAGCTGGGGTGTGGCTTTCTGGGACTGCTCCTCCGTGACACTTTTGTCTCTCCATGCCACGTCCTTGGTCATAGCCTACCCATGCTTCGGGGTGATTTTCAGTGTCTTCCTCCTTCATGAAGCCTTCCTCGCTCATCCCAGGCAGAACCAAAGTGTTTCTCTTCTGAGCTTATCTTGCCATCTGGGTGATTCATCAGGCACTTAACTCGACTTGTACTTTGTCAGGGATCATCTTTTGCTCTAAATGTACGTAGCTCTTTCAAATAACTCACAGAGAACTTCTACAGTCACAAAGAGGACAGAGCCTGGTTTTGCCTGTCGGTGGCTCTTGGCTCAGAAGGAAGAGTGACGAGCACATCTGTAATTTCCAGTGCCAGGTGGATGACAGAGGCGTGCTCAGGGTGCTCTGGGGAGACCGGTGATGAGGTGGGGCCCAGGTGACACTGAGATGCTCCCCAAAAAAACCCACAGACACCTTGGGGAAGGGACCTTACCGAATTCTCTCTAATTCCCCCACAGCTGTAATGATCATATTTTCTTGCTCTGCAATTTAATTTTTTAGGTAGCATTTTAGAATCTGATGATAAAAGTACATAGAAAAATTGAAAGAATAGCTAAGGCCAAACAAATGTATAAAATCACAATCCTACCACTACTACCCAGATTTAACTGGGTATATATGCTTTCCCATTTATTTTCTCCAAGCATATTTTCCCCTACACAAAAAATGGGTCATTCTCTATTTTTTTTTATGTAACAAAGGCACAAATACTTTATGGATGCTTTTTTATATTTATCTTCATTTGTTTTAATGGCTGTATATTATTTCATATGCCATCCTTTAGTTACCATTCCCGTCTTGTTGAACGAATAGGTCATTTCTAATTGCTAACTTTTTTTTTTTTTTGCTTTGCCCATTATAAACAACACAGTGACAAGTAGCATTGTGGATAAAATGTTGCTGACAACCACTATATCTTCCTTAGTAATGCAGCACCTGATAGGTTCCACCTTAATTTGGTAGATATAATTTCTTAATACAAGTTTAGTATAAATTTCTAGAAGGAGATTGTTGGATCAAAGGCTGCATACATTTGAAAGGCATTGACATTTGATATTTGCAGCCAAATACCCCTGCAAAAGGGTTCTCAACCATTCCCACCAACTCTATGTGAGAGGATACTAGATGTTACTTTATTTTACTTTTTAAACAAAATTAAACTCAATTTATTGGTCACAGTTGGTGTAGGGAGAGGTAGATGGTTTCTTGCATCTGTTTGCATTTCTGACTACTGACTGCTAGCTTAGATTTTATTTTTTTCCTGGCTTTTTCTAGATACTGAGGATTGAATCCAGGGAGTACTCAGCTTCAAGCCCAGCCCCAGCTCTCTTTACTTTTTCTTTTGAGACTGGGTCTCACTAGTTGTCCAGGCTGCCATTGAACCTGATTGTCTTGCCTCAGCCTGAGTAGCTAGGATTACAGCCTACCACCACACCCGTTCATTTTTCACATTTTTATGTTGTATTTCTTTTTTGGTACCAGGGATCAAACTCAGGACCTTGTGCTTGCGAGGCAGGTGGCAGAACCACTGAGCTAAATCCCTGGCCCCACGAATTTCTTTTTTAAAGAACTTCTTAGGCTAGGGTTATAGCTCTGTGTTAGAGTGAATGCCTAACATTCACAAGACCCAACCCCTAAGAAAGAAAAAAAAATCCTATTTATGTCTTTTGCCCATTTAAGGGTTTTTCTATTAAGAAATTAATAGAGTTCACATTTATTGAGTGCCTACTGTTGGCCAGGCACTGTCCTCAGTGCTTCATGGACCATTTAACTTCCTTTACTCCTTTCAAGAACTCCATGAGATACACCGTTGTTATCTTACTGATTCATAAGTGCCTGTGGGTCAGGGACAGGGACCCTTTGAGAAATACATATTACATTTTTTTCAATGTGTTCATTGCCTTTTATCTTTGAATGCTTTTATTTACAGAAGTTTGAAGGTGAGATTAGATTGATCATTTATTTTGCTTCTGCCTTTGCATTTATGTATAAAATAGTCTCTTCTTATATTGAGGTCTGAGAGATGCTCATGTGTTTTTCATTCTTTAATGGCTTAATTTAACATTGAAAATTAGCATTTAATTATCTAATCCATTCACAATTTATTTTACAGTGGGAGAAAGAGCGTCCACATCTTCTTTTCACCCCAGCTGGATAGCCGGTCATTCCCAAGACACTTGTGGAATGATCAACCCCTTCTGTTTTAAAATGGACCTTTTATCACACTGGAATACTTTAATCTACTTCAGGTTTTTCTTTTATGTGTTGATAATATGTCTGTGTGTTCTTCATCACTACTTTTAAGTTACTGTGGTTTCACAACATATATTCATACCTAGAAGTAAAACTGCCCCATCTGACCCATTCCCCTTGTTAATCTTCTTTTACAAAATTTTATTGAATATTCCTTGAATATTCTAGAGTGTATTTTGGAATTACCTTAAGTTTCAGTAAAAATTTTATCAAATCCCTTTTCTATCAGCAAGATACAAATTAATGAGATATATGTATATATTCAATATTTCCTATTACCAATGAAAAACATTTTATTAAAATTCTTCACCTTTCTTGGGTAACATTTTTATCAATATTGTCCTTCCCTTATTAACATAAAATATAAATCAATTTATCATATTTTCTGAGCTAAAAGTCAACACATACACGTGTGTGTGTGTGTGTGTGTGTGTGTGTGTGTGTGTGTACCACGAAGGACTCCTAGGAGGTGCTGTTTGCATGCAGAAATGTGGGAATTTCAGACCATTTCTAAGTTCAAGAGGACAACTGAAGGAGAATATTTAAAATGGAAACAGTGTTGGGCCAATTCCAAAGGTCTAATCTCTAAGCCTAAAGCGCCCAATGTACTGTC